GAATGGGTTTTTGAGTTTTAGGAAAATCGATTCCAAATTTTGGAGATTTAGGAGGGGGACAGAAATACTTAGGGCTACAGGTGGAGGGAAACTTAGAATTTGGGGAAGGAAGGGAAAATGTATACAGACGGCTAAAATAAACGAGGAAAAAATCATGTTTAATAAACAGTGAATTATACGGACAAAATAGGTTAAGCCGTCTGTATACATATATTTATATAAATGAATAATAATTACCGTTAGAATATATATACTCTGTACAAATGGATAATTAGTAAATTGTTTGTATAAACTCAATCTATACTAACGGATATATTTCTCCGTTGGTACAGATCAATATATACTAACTGTTTATGTTGTCCGTTGGTATATACTCATGTATACTAACTGCTTATAGTTTTTGTTGGTATAGACCCATGTATATAGATGGATTTCAATCCATTAGTATAGACTTCCTTGGTAAAAGGCATTTTGCTACAAATTAATTTGTGATATGTACGAGGGATATCAAGCTATAGGTATCACAAAATGCAGCATAAATTCTCCAATAGTAAAGTAACACCTGCTCTCTTCCATGTTTTAATTACAGAACCTGGAAAAACCTGTTATTTGCAATGTTACAAGTTCATTAAACATCTTCTTCAATTGAGACTTAAGAACAAAGAAAAATGAAAGATGCACACATATGCGGAGCAGATTGCCTTCTCCATGCCTTCTTAACTTCTAGTAACACCAGTGATATAAACCTACAGAGCAGACGAGTTAATCTTACAAGAACACAAAGGAAACACAAACATATAGTGCAAATGGTGATAATCTCCCAAATCAGTACTTCCTTTAGCATTGATGGATTTATTTGTACAAAGCTTCTGAAGATCAATATACCAGATAATGGTATCTTCTAAAGCTGCATCTTCCAGTCATCTTTTGTCAAAAGCGGTGCCAGGTGATTAATTTTGAGCCTTTCTTTACTCTAAACTAGTAATTAATAAATGTCATAATTAAGTGCAACATGTACCAGAAAAGGGGGGAAAAGATTACTGCAACCAACCACCATGGTTGGGGGTTATCAGCAGCTATGGCTCTACAAATAGCAAATAGCAGCACAATGGAATTCTAGTTGTGTAGACAACATAAGAATGGTCTTCAAGTTTCAATGTTACTGATCAGGAAATAGAAAGAGCACAAGCTTGAAGCTTGACTATCAGTGGGAATAATTAGACATTTCTAGACCATGCTAAGCAACTGTTTAAAATAGATCCTAATTCTTCCACATGCACAAACCTCAGGATAAACTTTCTTTGTTTCATTGCAGTCAACACCTCATCAAAAAGTGCGGAACTACCCATGAACAATTTGATGTAGGTTTCATTTGTCAATATCATAGCACGCTGTGAAAGTGAATGTAAGTTTTTTAATATTTTATTTTTTAAAAATATATTATTTTTATAAAAATTAATTATATACCCGGCCCATTGTCCTTCCTCAGTCAAAGTTGTGCAAAAATTTTTAATAAAATTTCAATAAAAATTGAAAATATTTCAGCTGCTCTAGATACACCTCCTTCCATCTTTAACGTATACTAGAAAGTAAAAACTAAACTAAAAAATAGTTCAAAAAAGTATGGATTTGAAAATCGAACTCAACTGATTTAGCTAAGAAAACCAAACTTACCGATAACCTTTTATTTGAACCATGACAAAAAA